TTTTTCGAGACAGGGTTTCTCTGTGTAGCTTGGGAGCCTATCCCTCTGGAGACCAGACTGGCCTCGAACTCACAGAGATCCGCCTGCTTCTGCCTCCCGAGTGCTGGGATTAAAGGCTCGAGCCACCAACGCCCGGCTGTATGTACACTTTATTATCTAGTTGAAACTATGGTGTATATAGATGAGACACCTTCTGGTTTTGTTATCCTGCTGGCCTTGAACTGCTAGGGTCAAAAGGTCTTTCTAGTTCAGTCTGCCAAGTAGTTGAGATTACAGGCACACACCTTCATACTCAGCTTAATTTTTATATTTTGTTAAAAAAAATGCCCATCTTGAGGCTCAAGGTACAGGTAGAGTCTTGCCTAGCACATATGAAACCCTGGGTTCCATCCCAGGCATAGCATAAAACCAGGCATGGTGACACCCACCTGTAGACAGGCAGGAGGACCAGAAATTCAAGGTCATGCTCAGCTATACAGTGAGGTAGAGGCCAGCTCTGCCCTAAAAAAGAAAACAAAAATCTAACCTCTATAATGTGAACTATAAAAATTGGAAAACTTGTTATGAGCTATGAAGTTGGGAAATTGTGAACTATTAAATGCGGAAAATAACCAACAGACATGGGTTGACAGTTCCTGTAGAAGGAGCTTTACCAGGCTGTCAGAGAAAGCCCTCCAGAAGGCAAACAAAATAACAAAAGATGAGAGCAGAGTGCTTCACAGGGGAAATAAAGACGGTTAATTGACTATGTAGTCTCATTACCCAAAGCACTGCCGATTAGGCCAATGGATACCATTCTGCCGATCATATCAGCAAGGTATGCTTTTAAAGCACAAAGCTATTTTTCAGTAGATTTATAAATCAACATAATGTTCTGGGAAGCAGCTTGCAAACCATGTGAGGGATGAGTGTTTATGACATATTTTCCCTTTGTAACTGTCTTAGATTCTATTTATTGATTAGTCTTAATTTTTCTTTATATTATTATTTTAAGCATTTTCATTTTCCTTATCTTATTTATAGACTCTTGCATAATCCATTTTTTTACCTTATTTTCTTTAAAAGATCTATTTTTTGTTTTGGGTTTTTTGTTTGTTTGTTTGTTTTTGTTTTGTTTTGTTTTTTGAGACAAGAGTTTCTCTCTGTAGCCTTGGCTGTCCTGGCACTCACTCTGTAGACCAGAGATCCACCTGCCTCTGCCTCCCAAGTGCTGGGATTTAAAGGTGTGTACCACCACTGCCTGGCTTAAACATCTCTCTCTCTCTTTTTTTTTTTTTTGGTGTGTGTGTGTGTGTGTGTGTGTGTGTGTGTGTGTGTGTGTCTTTGTGTGTCTTTGTGTGTCTTTGCATGTGCCATGTATGTGCAGTGTCCCTCAAAAGCTGGCACTGGCATTGTATCTCTTGGAGGTGGAGTTACAGGTGGTTGTGAGCTGCCTTATGTGGGTGCTGGGAACTAAACTTGGGTCCAGTGGAAGGGCAACAAGCAACCTTAACCACTGAGTCATTTTGCCAGCCCCTTGCATCATCATCATCATTATTATTGTTGTTGTTGTTGTTGTCATTGTCGTTGTTATTATTACTATTATATATAGTTTTAGTTTTTCAGAACAGGGTCTTTCTCTATGTCCTTGGCTGTCCTGGAACTCATTCTGTAGACCAGACTGGCCTCTAACTCTCGGAGATTACCTGTCTCTGCCTCCCGAGTGCTAGGATTTACGATTTGCACCACCACCACCTGGATATATATATATTTTTAATATTCAGTGGTCTATCTTTTGTACAGTTTCTTACATGGTCCCTAAGTTTGGAAAGATACCTTCACCTAAGAGATTACATAAACATTAACTCTGATCACTTCTGAGTTTTCTGGTGAGGATAAAACTTTTGAGTCTTCAGGGAGTCTCTTTTTCGTTTTGCCTGAGCTGTTAAGTGAGGGAGCTGATGAGCACTTCCCTTCCCTGTTTCATTTGTGAGGCTTCAATCAGCATTATTCAATTATGATGTGTTTTCTTCTTTGCTAAACCTTCTGGGTTCAACATTTTCTTTCTGTGATGTTTGTCCTTTTGCCCTCTCTTAATTAGTGCGACTTCTGAAGTGACTGTAACCCTGCCTTACTTTTCAGATCATTCTGTTTACTCACTGAGAGATGGGATTTGGGTACAAAGCGTAGCAGATGTTCTATTAATTTTTTTTTTAAAAAAAGGTAACATGGAGCTGGACAGTGGTGATGCACACCTTTAATTCCAGCACTCAGGAGGCAGAGGCAGGCGGATCTCTTGAGTCCAGCCTGGTGTACATAGTGAGGTCCAGGACAGCCAGGGCTACACAGAGAAACCCTGTCTCAAAAACAAAAGACAGTACAGTCTGAAAGATGGCTCCATGAATGGTTGAGAGCCCTTGCTGTTCACTTAGAGGACCAGAGTTCAGTTACCAACACCTAGGTGGGATGAGTCACAACCACCTGTCCCTCCAGCTTCAGGGGATACGAGTCCCTTTACTGATCTCCTTGAGCACCTTTACATACATATGTACACACACACACACACACACACACACACACACACACACACACACACACACACAAACAACTTAGAAATCAAATACAATCTCTTTTTAAAAAGTAACATAATTGAATATTTTTTCTTGTTACCAATGAACATATTGTCTGCCTTCACATGTGAGCCTAAAAATAACTGAAAACAGACACAAAAAGATGTTAATAAAACCTAGGATTAAGCTGTCACAGTGGCATTGCATGAGACTCTGGCTGGAGGAACAGCTGCTTAGGGCAGTGAGAGGCTTCACGGAGTAGGTGACATTTGACTAGGACTTGGAACAAAAGTAGAGATTGTGTGGGTCAGTGGCTTGAGAATTGCTTCATGGTTATTACATGACCATTCCCATGTGCTTTGTATTTTTTTTCCCTCTTAGTAATAGGACCTTTAAGGGCCATATTCTTCTATTGGGAATACAGCACAGTGGTAGAGCACTTACCTGGCAAGCCCAAGGTCCTAGGTTCAACTCCCCGTGCTGCACAACAGAGAAACAACAGTGAATGAAAAACCCTTATTTTATTGCTGGCACATGGGGTTATTATTGCACTTGTGTATTTGTTCTGGAACCATCCGCAAATGCATGGCAACATAAGAGAGCCAGGCTTCCATGGAGAAGAGATGGGATGGTGCTGCCACAGTCACTGAGAGCCCCGAGGGCTCAGAAGGCAATGGCCAGCAACAAGGAAGCTCCAGAAAGGCTCCCAGGAGAGGCCTGGAGGGAGCCAGCCTTAAAGTATAGAAAGGGTTTGAACAGAGTGAGGAGGGGGGGGTGGAGGGTATGGTGGGGGCAGGGGTGACACTGTAACATGCTAGCTACGTATCTGCTGAGCCCTTGGTGAGTTACGATTTTATCAGAGTTTTCTCTTCCTGGCAGTTGCCAGTCAAATACCATTGTTGTTGTTTTATATAATAGATGAGGAAACTGAGACTCGGGGAGCTTAAGTAACTGGGGAGAGCCTAATAACATAGTCTCTGCGTGTTTCTCTGTGTGTTCACGCAGTTCTGTGGAGAGCTAGTTCGTCCACGTGAAGTGAACCACCTGAGGCTGGGCATGTGGTTAAGTGGGTAGAGTGCCTGCCCAGCATATGCAGAGCGCTGGGTTCGGTCCCCAATACTTTGGGAAACTGCATGTGGTAAGGCACAACCGTAACCCCAGCCCTTAGGAGGTGGAGGCAGGAGGATCAGAAGTTGACAGTCATCCTTGGCCACGTAATGAGTTTGAGGCTAGCCTGCAAATGCTATGTGAGGCAATGAAGACAAAAGGAAGAAAGGGAGGAGAGAGGAGATGAAAGAAATCCCTTTAGTGGTTTTCATTGTACTTAAGGAGCTATAAAATTGCTGCCACAGTCCAATTTTAGAACATTTTGAAGCAAACAGCCTCGCCCCTTCCTCACCACTCACAGATACTTTCTCGAGCAGCCCCGTGTATTCATCAGCCCTCTGCTTTCCGTCTGAGTGGATTTGCCTCTTTACACTTCATGTATGTGGAGTCAGACTGGTGTGTGGTACTCATGACGGGCTTCTTTGGCTCAGCATTGTGTTTTCATGATTCTTCCATAGTATGGTATTTCTCTGTGGACGCCGGGCATGTTCTTATGTACACATGCATGTGTGTGCATGTATGTTGTTTCCTGGTTACCATCTATTTCCCGCTGTTTTTGAGGTGGGGGTCACTCCCTGGTCTTTAACTAAAGAAGTAGGGTAGGATGACTGACCAGTGAGTCTCAGGTCTAAGCCTGTGTCTACCTTCCCAGCTCTTTACTAACCACCCACCTCCCCAGCCTCCATGGCATTTCTTCTTATTGTGGAGCAATGTTCCTTTTTACGGACATGTCACTCATTTCTCAGTCTGTGGTCAGTTTCGATATTTGGAAAAGCTGCTGAAGACACCTGCGTGTCTTGCGTTTTCTGCATGGAAACACTTGTCTTCTCGCCTTCTGGGCATATATGTGGGAAGGGTGGCAGCCCTCAATCATACAATGACTTTGCCCTCAGGGAAGTGAGAACCTGTTCTGCTCAGTGGCTTCTCTGCTTGTTTGATACAGGCCTGGGAAGATAGGCAAACCACAGAGTCTGAGCATTGTGTAGGCCCAAAGCAAGTGATCGTGAAGTACTCTTTGAGAGGCTGCCTCATTGTCGCGTCTTTGATTCCAAAGGAATTGGTTCTGTAAGGGAAGGGCCTGAACAATGCTGCCCGGAATGACATTATTGTGGTGACTTGAAGGTTCTGCCTCTTGGATTCCAGCTGATCGGCTGGAGACAAAACCAAGGTTCAGAGTGTGAAGGATGGACAAGTGAGGCGTAATGCTGATGGGGCTTTGGGACAGGCCAGAGGACACGGGAAGAAGCTGGGGGGGGGAGATGGCTTAGGTTCATGTGGATCTGGGGTGGGTTTTTAGGAAGCAGCGATTAATGACTCTGATCTGCCTTTGTTCTTCTGTTGCAGACCTGGCCGACTGCAAGCTTGTTTCTTTCCCCATCTGCATCTACAAGGTCCTGAGGAACGTCTCCGACCAGATCCTCCTCATCACACTGGCTAACAATGAACTCAAGTCCCTCACCAGCAAGTTCATGACCACCTTCAGTCAGCTTCGAGGTAAGCCGGGGGTTATCTCAGGCAAGGAGTGTGTGACCAGGCCCTGACCTTCAGGGTCTCACCCCACCCCCTCCGGAGAATGTCCCCAGAGCTGGTTCAGGATCAACCTGACTTATTAAGTCATTCCCAAGGGTAGGCTTTGAAGACAGACTTGTGCCTGGAAGTCTCTGGGTCAAATTCCGTCCAGCTGGCTGAAAACGAGATGGACTGAGCAGGGTGTGGTGGCACATTGCCTTTTCCCCACGAGGCAGAGGCAGACAGGTCATTGTGAGTTTGAGGTCAGCCTAGTCTACAGAGTGAGTTCCAGGACAGCCAGGGATGCTACACAGAGAAAGCCTGTCTCAAAGAAAAAAAGAAGAAGAAGAAGAAGAAAAGAAGGAAGGAAGAAAGAAAGAAAAAGAAATTGGCTGAAGACAAGTGTTGGCTTGACTCTTTCATTTTGAGCAGACCAGCAAGCCGAGGAGACATAAATGACTGGTTCCCTTTTCATCCCCAGCGTTGCTCTTTCTTTCATGTTGCTTTCTCAGGGCAGTTGTGACAGGTGCCAGCAATGCTGGCTTATCTCTCTGGCACACACTGAGTGAGTGGATATGGTCTTTGGAGGGTGCTAGGCAGGAGGCCAACAGGTGAGCATTTTGGATCTTCTACAGTGGTGTTTCTGGAGGACTGAGCAGGATGTGCTGAAAACTGTGGTACTTACTCCCTCCATCTTTCTGCCCCATAGATGGTGGCACCACCTGGGGAGAGTGGCAGAAGGCACAGGATGCCTGAGTAAGGTGGATCCTGCCTCTTAGGGCTCTCTTGTCTGCCAGGGGTATGAAAAGGGTTCATGATTCTGTTTAGGGAAACAAACACAAATTACTGGTCCTGTATGAGGAACAAGCAAATGTATCTCAGACCCCTGATTTTGGCTGGTGAGGTGTGCTGACTGGTGTTGTTTGTCAACTTGACACAAGCTAGAGTCAATGGAGAGGAAGGAGCCTCAGCTGAGGAAATTCCTCCATGAGATCCAGCTGTAAGGCATTTTCTCTTTTAGTGATCAGTGGGGGAAGGCCCTACCCATGGTGGGTGGTACCATCCCTAGGCTGGTGGTCCTGGGTTCTATAAGAAGGTGGGCTGAGCTGGGTAGTGATGGTGGCACTCGAGTTTAGTCCCAGCACTTGGGAGGCAGAGGCAGGTGGATCTCTGTGAGTTCCAGACCAGCCTGGTCTACAAGAGCTAGTTCCAGGACAGCCTCCAAAGCCACAGAGGAACCCTGTCTTGAAACCGCCCCACCTCAAAAAAAGTGTAAGCCAAATAAACCCTTTCCTTCCCAAGTTACCTTTGGTCGTGGTGTTTCATCATCGAAGCAATAGAAACTTCAAGGCTTCCTCAGGGAGCTGTGGGTGTTGGATAGAGACAGGAAGGCAGAGATGAGCAAAGCTTGGTCCTGCACATAGTAAGAATTGGTGTCGTGGGCCAGGTTGAAGCATGCAAGATCCAGGCGAGGCCAGCCTCACTGTGCCCGTGAGCATAGAGGCTCCTTCTGAGTGAAGGTCACAGGGCTCAAATGGTACCTGTGTTGGGGAGGGGGAGGAGAGGAGCCAGGGCAGGGCTTGTTGACCCAGAGGCACCTGTGTGTACTTTGACCTAGCTGTAGCTGGTTCCTCTTCAGTCCTTTTCTGGCATCTGCCACTTTACATAGGCAGTGTGGGCCCTCATAGCCAGCGGGCTCCTCAGACTGAGTTCATGCCCTTGATGAAGTCAGAACTTTTCTGTACATACTATGATCCCAAGTCCAGATGAGTTGGACCACCTGAGTGTGAGCCTAGGCTTTGGCATGTGCGGCCCATTCAGAAGTGCTGACACCGACAGTTCCAGGCTTATCAGCACAAGTGTCCAAGAGACCAGCCTGTGATGCATAGTGGGTGGCTTGCATTGAGCATCTGGCAGTAAGGAGTAATGAACGGGTATTTACTCATCTACCGCTGGTGTGTCCCTCAGCTGTGTGTGCCACAAGAGAAGATGGACTGGTTTCATCCCTTCTTCTGATCATTTATCCAATTTGGTTTATCTTGGGACGGGTTCTCCAGTAGCCTAGGCTGACCTCAAACTGGCTGTGGAGCCAGAGGTGACCTGGAACTTGTGGTGCTCCTGCTTCTGCCTCCCAAGCACTAGGATTGTGTGGTCATGTACTACTGTGGCTGGCTGCTGCCGATTGTTTAATAGAAGCTGGAAATAAGCAGTGCGTGAGAATCTCCCCAGGTTTTATGTAACACGAAAGCCAGTAAGATGCATTTGCAATGTAGATTTAGCTTGTAAAATAATGGCATGGCATCTAGTTTCCTACTTCATGGAAGGAAATGGAGAATCAAGGAGGGAAGGACTTGGCTCAGTAAGGACCCAGAGCAGAACCTCCAGGGCTTGGCTCCAAGTGGGTCACCTCACAGGGTACCTGTATTAGCTCAAAGGTCTTGCACTCTTTCGACAAGGTCTCATATAACTCAGGCTGACCCAACTCTTTTATTTAGTGGAAGACGACCTTTAACCTTCTGATCCTTCTGCCTCCATCTTCTGAGTTTTGGGATCATATGCCCATCTTACGTGGTGCTGGGGCTCAAACCCAGGCTTCATCGTGCTGGGTAAGCCCCCGACCTGTGCAGTCACATTCTCAGTCCTGGGCGTTTGCTTTCTAGAGAGATAGGTGGTGGGGCTGTCAGAGTCCCAGGATGAGCACTCAGGGTGATGCTTCCTTGGGCAGAGGGAAGATCCTGTGTGCTTTATCCTGGATTCATCTCTTAAGTACCTGCAGTCATCCAGACCTGAGTCTAGAGGTGGGGAAACAACAGTGGACAGTCAGCCAGGTGTCTCCTTGAAGAAGGTTGCAAGATGCTCATTCTTACCACTGAGGGCTGGGATGCTGGCAAGGACAAATGGAGGAGGATAGACCGCTGGGCAGAAGAACCGAGAGAGCGGCGTGGGCACTGAGGGCTGGAGGAAGTGCTTTCAGAGGTCCTTCACCAGCTGCTTGGGGGAAATGTTGCTCAGGGCTCCGCCAACACCAGTGTACTCACTCCAATACCATCGGATCAAATGCCTATTGAAGGATGCCATTTGAACTCTCTTCTCTCTGCCCCCACCAGCTCCTGACTCCTCCGTCCCTCAGTCCCTCAGCTTGGCGTTTCAAAGGGAAGGCCAGAGTGGCTAATTGGATTTCACACAGTGGATTGTAGGCTGTGGTGGCCAGGAGCTGAGGGGGTTGGGGGTGGGGGGCAAGTGCTAGAGCCAAGGCCGGTTAGGCTCTTAGAGAGGTAGCGCTGAGCCCAAATCTTTGTTATGATTTCTCTTTAAACAGAAGACACACACACAACACACACATGCACCCCGGTGCGTGCTCTCACCCCAAGCTGCATGTGTGTGGAGGAGGAGGTATTGGCACTGAAAAGACTGCTTGCTGTGTCTTCTTCTGGGCTCTTGACAGCAGGTACTATGCCACGCGTCCCCTGGCTGCCTCAGGCCCCGCAGAAACTCTCTCCATCAGACTCACGGCTTCCTGTGGTTGGATCATCTTTGATTCTACCTTTCCATGTCCCTCACTCATTCTTATGAAATGAAAAGGCAGAGCCTGGTCTACAGTGGCTTGTGAAGCATGCTCAAGGCCCTAGGTTCAGCCCCTAGCACTGCATAAGACCGGTGTGGTGACCTGTACTGGTGATCCCGGCACTCCAGGGGGAGAGGCAAGAGGATCAGAAGTTCAAAGTCATCTTCTGCTACCTACCAGTTGGAGGACAGCCTGAGATATATAATGTCTTAAAAGAAGCAAAACAAAACAGCAAGACCTGAGTGAGTGAAGAGGCTAGACAGAATCAGTGGGCTGTAGAAAGAGATCTCAGTTTCTGGGTATGGCTCTTCTGTATCTGTCTCCTTTGTTGTTCTCTGGTCACTGGGCTCTTTTGATTGTGTCCTGAACCTGCTAGGTCAGAGGAGTGTGAGATACACCTAAGAGATAAATATACATACCCCTCCCAACAGATGAGACTGGTGGAGGTTCCTGCTCTGGGCACCTGCTATAGAGCCAGAAGACAACCCCCTCATGTGCACTTGGCAGAGGTTCTAGAGTGGGCAGGGGACCAGGAATGCTTCATAGTGGGACAAAAGCAAAGCTTATGGCTTGGGCAACTGCTAGTAGCTTGCTAAAAGCAGGCATCCTTGGGCATGGACTACGAGAATTAGGTAGAGATAGGTTTGGCTTTCTCCTTATGGTCCATAGTTGGATATAGAGACAAAACTCAGGGAAGCTCACCCAGGTGTGATAGTTCAAGCCTGTAATCCCAGTACCTGGGAAGTAGAGGCAGAAGGACCCAGGAGTTCAAAGCCAGCCTCAGCTACATATTTTGAGGCCAGCCTGAGCAAAATGAGATCCTGTATCTACCCTACCCCCTAAAATTAGAGTAGTTGCAGGTTATTGAGTCCTGGCCTTTTAGAGCCAATTGTCACAGGGGTTATGGTTTGGCTTGTCGAGTGGTTGTTATAGACAACACTTCCTATGATGTCTGATTTAAGTGAGCAAGTATCTTAGCTGGGATTTCCGTTGCTTCCACAAAGCACCAAGACCAAAAAGCAAGTTGGGGAGAAAAGGGTTTATTGGGCTTATACTACCACATTGCAGTCTTACCACTGGCAGAGCCAGAATAAGAACTCAAACAGGGCAGGAGCTGATGCAGAGGCCATGGAGGGGTGCTGCTTACTGGCTTGCTCCTCATGGCTTGCTCCATCTACTTACAGAACCCAGGACCACCAGTCAAGGGACAGCATCACCTACAATGTGATGGTACCTTCTCCATTAAGCACTAATTAAGAAAATGTCTTACAGCCAGATCTTATGGAGGCATTTTCTCAATTAAGGTTTTCTCCATTCAGAATAACTGTAGGTTCGTGTGTCATCAGACTAGCCAACATAGCAAGTGTCCAACTAGTGGCTCCAGATAACTGGTTGACTTCCTGGGCTACAGGTTGTGGAT